AAGCTTCTTCCTGACAAATTGGTTAAACCCAGTGGAATATATAAAATATATATTGACAATTAAAAAAAATGACAATTAGCTTTTTATATGGCTACATAAACTACTTTCATACTGATGGCTAAATCACTGCAGAAAATATATATATGCAAGTACTTTTTCCTCAGAAAGAAATAACAGGACATGTCCTAATGTACAGAGGAAAATCTAAAGCTATATAACACCTGCTTTGACCCGCGCCATGAGCAAAAATTCTTCTAAATCTGGCAAACCAGATGTCCACACCCACCTTTAAAATTTGGATGGTCTTTTCACAAATCTCAGAGTTCTGATTGGTCAGTTCCTTTAGTTCCCTGTTTGATTTAAAAAAAAAAAAATATTGTTATGACAAGTGTATATTAGACTACACGTTTAGATTTATTTAAATAATCAGGATTTGCTCACTCAGCATCTGCCCCATTCTGAATCATCTTTTCAATAACGGCGCTCCAAATCTGCATTCTAGAACACACACACAAAAACACTTTAACGTCAACAGCCACAGAATATTGCAAAAGAAAGTCTAACAACAGAATCTTTACCTGTTCAACACCAGTGTTTTGTTGAAGTGTGAGAGTCTTGCTTGCTCTATTTCACTTTCATACTTAGATCTACAGATTGTCACAAAGATACAGATAAATACATTAATAAATAATATATATATATATATATATATATATATATATATATATATATATATATATATATATATATCCAGATGCAGTTGAGTTGTTACTTTATAACATACAGTACACATATATATTAATAATTTCAGACACACTTACAGATCTGCCTCAGCTTCACATGACTCTCTGTGTTTTCCTAAGAAACATACACTAGAATTAGCATTAGGTTAATTAATAATAAGTGATTAATAAATAAGCGTATTCAAATATAAGTCTAAGCTTACCCATGCTGACTTTAACATTCATTTCAAAACACTGATTTTCCATTATTTCTTTCATCCTTGAGGAAAGAGAAAAAAATAATGAAGAAAGTTATGTAATGTGTAAAAACACTAACTTGGTAATTATGTTGAACTACTCATCAATATCAATTTAGGCATGTTGAATTGGCCAAGATGATCTGCTAAAGTAATAAGCAACACTTTGAAGCGGATGAGCTACAGCAGCAGAGGAAGAGTGCTCCTTACAGCTAACAATAGCAAACTGAGGCTTCAGTTCACACGGACTAACCAATATTTGACAATAACAAAATCAACTGGTATAATGACAATTTTTGCTGCAACTTTCAATGATGAAGTCAGAATTTGGCATTAAAAACATGCAAGAATAGATCTATGATGCAAGCTGCCCTAGGTCAGTTAATGGTGTGAAAAAGAGCAGGATAAAGCCCAAGCCCTTGCTGTCAATGGAGGGTAAGAAAGCTCTTGAATTTAAAGGCACCTATGATAAAAATCAACTTTTGTAAGCTGATTTTTCTTAGTTTAATTAAACTGGTGTTTAATTAAAAACACAACGTTTTTAAAACAGAGCATGTTTGTAATAAAGAAAGTAAAATCGCTATGTAATTTTAACCGCTGTAATCACCACAACCGCATCATGTAAGTAAATGCTAGTATGTCTGTGTCTGTACTGCAAACAGCATTTGTGTGAGACGCATCATTTCAGAATGGCTTGAATAAACTCCAGCACAAATACATCAAATAAACTTAGTTGCTATTTTTGAATAATGAGCCGTATTTCAAGATATATTTCAAGTCTGTCTCTGTCACTGTGCTGTTTATCTGATGTAACGTAATATAAGAAGCAGAAACGCAGAAACGGTGGGCGGGAAGAAGCAGCTCATTTGCGTTTAAAGCCACAGGCTACAAAAACAGCCTCACTGTACTCAGACACCAAAATTGGCATATTCTGGAGGCTAGAATAAATAATCTAACAGATATTTTGAGATGCAACTTTACAGACACATTCCGGAGACACCAAAAACCTAATTTACATCTTGTAAAAGGGTTAAAATAGGTGCCCTTTAATCTTATATATTAATTTGTGTTTTAAGATGAACAAAGGTCTCATGAATTTAAAACATAAGAGTAATTAAATTAATACAGTTTTCATTTTTAGGGTGAACTAACCCTTTAATCCCATTCCATAAAATGTTTTATACTGTTAATTGGTTATAAATAGTTTCGCTGTAAGAAGAGAACGACAACTTATACAAATAAAATAATGAAAAATTACTTTAATAAGCTTGTGGGTGTCACCCCATCGGAGACTGAAGATGGATCAGGAAGACTGTTGTCCCTTCTAGGAGTGTCAACATCTGAAGCGAGGGCATCATGATTAACGTTACTGGAACTCATCTTTGTATGTCTGTGAATAGAAACATTTAACCGATTTGAAACGTTGTGCTATTATAAGATTCTGCTGGTATGAAATGAACCCCAAAACAGAAACTACCGTCAGTAACAGTTACGTCACATCACATCTCAGAAAGCAGATTTGTGACACAAAACAGGGTTAAGCGCCAATGATTAACCGTATAACACTCATTCGTTTCCAATTAACGTAGCTAGATACCAGTTTTTTGAAAGAGACTCAGAGAGCGAACTTATAAAAACAACTCGCTTTACTTACGGGTTGTGTTTACTGTTTGTTGTTGAAAGATTTCTAGTCGCGCGATTCCAATCCTGTCTGAAACTGCCGCCAGGAAGTGGGGACGTCACGTGACAGCCACGTGATCGGGGTTATCTCGAAGCCACGCCCACAAGCAGAATAAAACTAAGCATGAGCAGAAATAAAGGATTGGCCGCTACAGTGACAGTCAGGACTCGTGTTTAGTGTGTTTTAGAGGTCATCATGGGGATTTAAGGATATAGTACACTACTAAATATCCTGTTGTTGGTAAGAATGCTTGTTCGTTGTGCTTATTAGCATGTGAAGATCAGTAGGCTTTTAAAATGGTGTTATTATAAAAGCATGTTAGCATGGTGAGCTATAGGGTACAGTGTATTCAATGTTTTACTGCAGTATTGTTTATTATTGTATAGTAATGCTCATTAATTAGATGAATTAGTATGTATATGTCTTTAGAACGACAGCTTGGTTCAAGTTCGTTCAGGATGCTTTATTAAAGCAGGTGATTTGACAGCTTCTTCAGCTCAGTCTAGTCAACAAAATGATTGTAGATATTATGGATATTAATTCTGTATTTAAGCTGTCATTGTGTTTTATGAACTATGGCTTTGGATTATATGCGTTTTTTGCTTGGTTGCCAAATTTAAAAATAGTTTAAATATGCTAAATAAATGTCAAATAAATAATATTCAAATTATTTATTGTTAAATTTAAACGTGCATGGAAAAATGTAATATGTTATTATGTATAATATAATGTTAAATAAATATTATATAAATTAACCATTGTTTAATTACACGTGCATATAATAATGATAATATGCATACATATCTTGCACAAACAAAATCTGAACATTAAATGAAGTCTTCATTTATCTTTTTACATATTCAAGTCAAACTTTATTTTTTTTTATTTATTATTATTTTGTTTTTTACAAAAGGAGAATTTAAAAATATTTTTTATCACTCCAAAATTCCAAAAAATTATGCAAAAAAAAATGCTTTTTGGATAATAAAAAAGTCAGGCAAGTTATATATGAACAAATCTCTCTTTGAAAACAACAACACATATATGTATATGCACAAACAAATAAACTCTTTCCATTAGACTAGCTTTATGGAAGTCAAAAATACCACAGTTGTGATGTTTTGCCTGTAGAGTCATATTTTGAATCATTTTCAATCGTTTAACGTAATTTTCTATTACTTTTAGTTTTATTAGCTTTGATAATCACGGCTACAACAAAATGAATTGAGTTAAATAAGCTTAATAATTGCACTTTGTTCAAAAGAACTGAATCCCATCGCCATTTATTCATGTCCCTAACACCAGCGCCCTCTAATGGTTACTAATGTATTTACTTTGTTTGAACCGGAAGCAGTGATCGGATGTCGTCATGGGAAGCAAAGTGAGTGGCAAGATGGCAGCTGCCAGTCGGGTCGTGCAGGTAAACACTCTCCTCAGCCTGTACACCGGTCATTTTTATGTGACGTCTCGTTTATTTCAGCTCATTGTGGAAATTAGGATCATTTATCCGCTTAGTCTACAGTAATATTTATCCTGAGTGTGTTTACTTGAGCAGAATGCATTGATTTCACCGGTTTGACAGATGCCCTTGTGGCCAAACCAAGTTCCTCTCACTTTCTTTATTTCTTTTGTGTAAAACTCGATATCATCTCAGTAACACCTTACACAATATGCACTTTAAATGTAAAAAAATCTGTAAATGTTAAAAGTGGGTTTGATTGTTCGTCTCTATATTCATAAGTGAGTGTTTTGTACAGAACTGATCTGTTTTGTTTTGTTTTCACTGCAGGTTGTTCGGCCTCATGCACCTTTAATTAAATTTCCAGACCGAAAGGGCGTCTCTAGGCCGAATGGTCAGTCAAATTCACAATTGCTACAGAATAATTGTTGTTTTACAAGACACTAATATCTTTATATTGTGTAAAAATATGGAACAGAGTTCAGAATTATTCTATTACTGTTACATTTTTGTTAATAAAAAAATGCCTTTTGAAAAATCCAATTACACATAAATCTCTGAAAAACTTGCTAAATATTTAGTCAACATTAAAGAGTTTTTTTTTTCTTTGAACATATTAACAGTATTAATCACATTGAAATAGAGAAAAATTATTTTTAATTTACATCTCATTTACTCACATTAAAGAGTTCATAGTTCTGAAACCTACGTGAACATCAGAAAACAACATAAACATTAGATTGAAATGATTATAAACTTTTTAATTATAAAATTTAAATTAATTTTCACTTTCATAGAAGCACAGTTCAGTCCCAAAAGTGTGTGAGAAATCAGCAAAAGGCTCAATTTATTTTTAAAAATGTCTTTTGACATCGAAATTTAAGGATCTTTTTTTACTAATATTCATTTCACCTAATATTGCTTCATACATGTATATCTTTTGTTTGTTTTTACTTATTACTATTTATTCATTCATTCATTTTCTTTTTGGCTTAATCCTTTTATTAATCTGGGGTCGCCACAGCAGAATGAACCGCCAACTTATCCAGCACATGTTTTACACAACGGATGCCCTTTCAGCTGCAACCCAGCACTGGGAAGCATCCATGCACACTCATTCACACATATACACTACGGACAATTTAGCTTTCCCAATTCACCTTTACTACATGTCTTTGGGCTGTGGGGAAAACCGGAGCACCCGGAGGAAACATACACGAACACAGGTAGAACATGCAAACTCCACTCAGAAATGCTAACTTACCCAGCTGAGGCTCGAACCAGCGACGTTCTTGCTGTGAGGTGAACATGCTGCCCATAGTTATTATAACCTTTATTTTACCAGGAAAAGGCACATAAAGATTAAAAATCTCTTTTACAAGAGTGTCCTGGCCAAGATTATGCAGTATACAGTTCATATGGGTTTAACAAACAAACAAAACAAAACAAATAACAGGTAACATCATTCATCCATCAAAACACGCATACAATGAGAGTTAAATCTAGTCAAAACATCCACAGGCCCAAGTTTCAAATTCCAAATAGTTTAAAAGTATGTAGTGAAACCAACTCTTTAAACTGCTACTTTGTTTGCAGGTTATTCCATGCAAAAGGTGCTGCATATTTAAAAGGTTATTGGTTCTATTAAATTATTTTTATAAAAATATATATATTTTTTAAATCTGCTAAAGAAAAATGACGATTTAAATGTACATTCTGAAATTGAATGTGGAGTTGCCTCTCTGGCTCCACTGCTAACTGTATTACCAAAAACAAAATCAAGCAAAATTTCTAATGTTTTGCTTCTCACACTTTACATACCTGAAACTTGCCTACAGCACTTATTCATTGTTACTCTTATAGTTGTGTAAATTGCTTCCTTGTCCTCATTTGTAAGTCGCTTTGGATAAAAGCATCTACTAAATGACTTAATGTATATTTAATTAATGAACTTAATTCATCTTTATTTCTGTAGCGCTGTTTACAATGTATATTGTGTCAAAGCATGAAGTTCTAGTCGATTAAACAGCTTCAGTTCAGTTGTCACAGTTAAAGGCCTTCTGTTTGTGAATTTCTCATTATGGAAATAAGGTGTTTCTACCCAATAAGCTCAGCATTACTTGTTGGTAACCGTTTCATTTCTTTGTGCTGCATTTGCAGTACAAGAGGCTTTGAAGGTGCTCACAGCCAGCCTGCCACAGCTCTCTCAATCCACAGCTCCATCTGCAGCATCAGTATCACCTCCGCCAAGACCACCGGGACCCGCCAGTCGACTCCCCGGCACCCCTGACAGCATCGCTGTGGTTCGAGAGCTCCCTCAGAGATACCGCAGGAGAACCCTAGACTTAAATGAAATGGACTACATCCAGGTTAGTGCTCACCATTTTAAACTGATCAGTTCATTTCATATTTGAGAGAAGATGAGCCGTTCAGTTTGGACTAAATCTTCTATTGTAGTGTTAGCGGTTTGCAATATTGATTTGTTTAATAAATGGATTTTTATTGTAGCATTTTCTTTTATCATTATGTTGTGATGTTTAGGGGAAAATGAACATAATATGGATAAACCATTTTCTTTTTTTATCTTGTTGCAGCGAGGAGGACCAGAATGACTGCAATCTGAACCGCTTCATTAAATCAGACTCCTTATTTGTGGGAATCTGTTGGCTGATCCTCAGCAAAAGAGGAGTTCAAAGCATGTCTCACTACAAACTTAATTAAATTATGTTGTACATACAAATCATTCTTTGACAGTTAGCCTGTTTCATTGTTCAGGTGCTCTGCATTTACAGTACATTAACCTTTTGCCACTTTTCATTTATCAGTGGTTTACTAAATCAACACCGTTTTTGGATTTGAGTTTATGGATCATCATTTGAGGAAAGTACTGAATGGAGAGCCAGCACATTATACAGGTCTCTGCTGAACAAAAGCAGTATTGTGGATCTGAGAGATTAAAATATTTACTCATTTTTGAAAACTTGTTTGCCTTTTATTTTTACCTATTAATAACCGTCATATTTTTTTTACTCGCATACTTTTTAAGTGAGGTTTTAAAGGGATAGTACACTCAAAAATGAACACTCACCACATACTCAATGAACACTTGTTTTGAACACGAGAAGCTATTTTAAAGAGCCCATATTACACATGAAATAGGGTCATATCTTGGTTGTTAGGGTCTCCAACAACAGTCTAATATGCATGCAAGGTCAAAAAACACTTTCATGGTCTTATAAT